TCATTTCTTTTTCTAAAAAAAATGAAACCAAACGCTTACCAGACGGCGCAGGACTCGCATTCCTGGACATTTATCCCAGGGAAATAAAAATGTCTGTTCACATAACATTTATACATAACTGTTCACGGCAGCTTCTTCTATCGACCAAATCTGGAAACAACCAAAATGTCCTTTGAAGGGTGCGGGCCAACCCCACCGTGGTGCGTCCTCGCCGCAGGTAGGGTTCGGCGGTACCGCGGCCGCCCTCTGGATGCTGCTGCCTGGGAGAGCCACTCCCACCAAGTCACATACAGATTGGATGATTCCATTTCTATGGCAAAATGACAAAATCAGAGAGGCAGAGACTGTGTTAGTAGTTGTGAGGGGCTAGGGCGGGGGAGGAGGGGCTGGTGGGACTATACGGGGGCCACAGGAAGGAGGTCTTTGTGGTGGTGGAATGGTTCTGGGTCTTGGTCAGGGGTGGTTACATGCATCCACGTGTGATAAAATGACACAGAACCATGAACACGCAGCATGCCAATGTCTGCGTCTTGGCTTGGATATTGTACCCTAATCATGTAAGATACAACAGGAAGGGAAATTATGTAAAGGGTATGTAGGACATCTCTGTACTACTTTTGCAACTTCCTGTGAATCTATATTCAAAATAAAATTTTTTTAAAAGAATTTATTTATTTATCTGGGACGCCTGGGTGGCTCAGTCAGTTAAGTGTCTGCCTTCAGCTCAGGTCATGATCCCAGGGTCCTGGGATCGAGTCCCGCATCGGGCTCCCCGCTGAGCAGGGAGCTCGACCTGGAACTCAATCCCAGGACCCTGGGATCATGACCTGAGCCAAAGGCAGACGCTCAACTGATTGAGCCACCCAGGCGCCTCTGGTAATATTCTTTAAAATGTAGGAGCGCCTGGGTGGCTCAGTCGGTTGAGCGTCTGCCTTCGGCTCAGGTCATGATCCCAGGGTCCTGGGATCAAGCCTCGCGTCGGGCTCCCTGCCCAGCAGGAAGCCTGCTTCTCCCTCTCCCACTCTCCCTGCTTGTGTTCCCTCTCTCGCTGTGTCTCTCTCTGTCAAATAAATAAACAAAATCTTTAAAAAAAATAAATAAATAAATAAATAAAATGTAGATATGTTACACATACTTTCTGTGTGTACAATAATTTTAAGGATAAATATATTTTAGAAAAACTTCATTGTCTTAGTTTGGGCTGCTATAACAGAACACCACAGACTATGTAGCTTACATGCGACAGAAATGTTTCTCACGGTTCCGGAGGCTGGAAGTCCAAGATCAAGGCCCAGCAATGTGATGTCTGGTGAGAACTACTCCCTGGTTCACATATGGAACCCTCTCTGTTCTCACATAGCAGAAGGCCCAGGGGCTCTCCGGGGCCCCGGGATTAGGGCACAAATCCTAGTCATGAAGGTTCTGCTCTCATGACTTCATCACCTCCGGAAGGCCCCACCTCTTGACCGCGTCACGCTGGGGGTAAGGATGTCAACATATGGATTTGGAGGGGGATGGTCCAAAGCGTTAATAAAATGGCAGCAATAAGACGCCTTAAATTTGAATACACACTGCTCTTCCACTATGTTCGGAAGTAAAGAACAAAAATTAAATTGCTTTGTAAGATGGAAGTCCAAAGGAACTGAAGTGTGTAACAACTGACCGAGAGTGCCCGCTGCCAACAGCAGAGCACGTGGAACATTCTCCAGAGTGGGCCACGTGCCCGCCGCCAACAAACCTCGATGGAAATCATTTGAAATATGTTCTCTGCCCGCAGCAGAACGAAATTAGAAATCCTTGACACATCCTTGACAGGGAAAATTTGGAGAGGTCACAAAGCTGGAGCTTAAACCACACATTCTAAATGGCCCGTGGCTCAGGGAAGAAATCAAAAGTGGAAGCAGAAAGCCTGTTGAGGTGAATGAAA